CAAATTGGTTATAGACAACGGAAAAGAAGATTCTGGGCCACATCCCAGTGTCTTTGAACGTATCAAAGGGAAAGAGCCTAGAGAGGACGGAAGCGGCCTGTGTGCAAGATGTAAAGGAGAAGTGAGTGCAAACACAGAGAAACCAGGAATATGGCAGCATCACCATCGCCCTGATTTTGTCCCAAATGCTCAGCCTATTAAAGGGCGATGTACATCATTCTATAGAGGACCGCCTTTTGAGAGGCAGTTCAGATCAATGAATAATGGGAGGACATTTAGGCCGCAACCTTGCCAACCAAATGTATGACATTCATTCCAGTATAATGCAGGAAGGGTGATACCCTTCAATGAGATGGCTAGAACCCAATAAAGGTATTTTCAACGGAATTATGGACGAATGATGAGGCAACAACAGGGATGTCGCGTGACTAGGGCTGTCCGTGGGTCGGTTCGGTTCGGTTCTCTTCCCAAAACTTTCGGACATTTAATAAATGGAACCGTCGGGTCCAAATATAATTGTGGAACCGTTCGGGTTCGGTTTGGTTCGATTTATTTCGGTTCCGTACCATAATTAAATTTTTTAATATTTACAGCAAACTACATAAATACAACTACTGACATTTCATTCGTAACTTTTACAAATTAAATTAGCCAAATTCAAAAACATATAAATAACTAGCCATCCAATAAGATTAATTCAATGCATACAAATACCAAAAAGTAGATATTAAAATTACAGCAACACTACATAAAGTAAATTCAGCCTGACTGCATAAAGAAAATGAAATATAAATTAAAAGTTATAAAAATAAAATATTTTTAAATATTGGTAATACTTGCCAATTATTTGATTTAATCATTTGAAAGCTTTAAATTTAATGAGTAAATTCGAATAGTTATGTAGTCATGAGCAAATTAAAATGAGCTAATGGGCTTTAAAAATGATTTGGACTTTAAAATTAAAATTATGAAATAATCTGATTTATTTAATTAATTTGCTAATTTGTTTAAAAAAAATAAAATAATTTAATTAATTCAATATAAAAAATAAAAAAATTATTT